AAGAAGTTGGTGGTTTTCTTCTATTATTATTAAGGGTATTTTTTAGATAAAAATTAATAACGAAAAGGGAAGGTGGGCAAAAGGAAAAGCACTGAAAAATTAATGTTAATCTTGTTTAAATAGATTATAAAAGAAAGTGGTGGAAAAGAGTTGATAATATTTTTATTTAATTAGATAATTAAATTATAGTAAAATTTTTAAATTTTATTACTTAAATAAATAATTAAAATAAAATATTTATGTTTATTTATTTGTAAATTTTTTTAAAAATAAATAAACAAACTAAATCTATTACAATTTCTCAAAATTGAAAGAATGAAAAACACGGGAGTAGTGGAGGCATTTCTCCCTCACCTTCCTCTCATGCCCCTCGAAATAGACACGGTAAAATTGGATCCAATCCAAAAATTCAACTCAACCCATTCATTATGGGTAGGAGTATGAGTTTTATGTGTTAATCCAAAATCTGAAATAATTCAGATTGAAATTATTCGAATCTAAACGGATTGGGTCACAGATAGGTCGGGTCACCTAAAATGACAAGAACTTTTATTTATTTATTTTTTATTAAATTATTTAAAAATTAATTTTAAATTTCTAATTTCCTAATTCTAAAAATAAAAATAAATAAAATACTCAAACCCTAAAATATCATCAATTTCACTTTTTGTCAACTTTTCCTCTTCTCTACCCTCGCTCTCTCTTTTTTCATCTCAAGCTCTCTAATCCTTATATTTGGTGGCACTCATGTAAAAAATTAAATTATGTGACACATAATAAGTTATGTTATATAATATTGTAAAAAAAATCATTTTAAAAAAATAAAAAACAAGAATGCTTACTAAAAATCAAAACCCAATGGTTAAAATACCATAATAACCATTAGAAGTATAAAAATAAGAAAATTAAGAACATTAAAGTCAATTCTTAGTTATTAATTTGTTCTTAATTAATAATTTATTTCTAATTAATAAAAATCAATTCCAATTCAATTTCTTCTTGTATTTTGTTAGACATATTTTGTATTTATCTTTTAAACTTTAATATTAAATAAGGCTATAATTTTTTGTATAATACCCTCCTAAATATTGAATAAAATTATATTTTTTATATAACACTTTTATAAATATTGAATATGTACTAGATATTAATATATATATTGGATTTATCTTTTGAACTATAATCATTCATGTCTCTTCTTTTAATGAAGATTAATACCATTATGAATTTTAAATATTGAATAAGTGTTATATATTTAACATATATTTTAGTTTCACCTATATAATCACTAATATTTTCCTTTTCTTTTCTTGAGATTAGAAAAAAAATTGAATTATGAAATGGAAATTAATGTTTAATAAGTTTTCTAACTAAATAGGTAATTAATAATAAAATTTTTTAATTAAATAGTTAATTAATATTAGATTTTATTAAAGAAAAATATAAAAATATAAAAAAATTTAATTTTAATTTTTTAAAAATTGAATTTACCCGACCTAATTCGAAACTCGTCTAAATGGATCATGGGTTAACCTCCTTAATTTGACACTTAAAATGATGCAATCTAAATAACATGAGATCCGAAATGACCAAATTCCAACCCACTTAATCCGAAATGACCAAATTCCAACTCACTTAATACGACCTGTTTACTTACCTCGAAATCCCCCAATTTAAAAACTTTGTAAGAGTTCTTTTTAATTTAATAATTAATATTTTACATTTTAAATTATAAATTTTTATCAACAATATAATAATTCAATAATAATTTTTT